TGTCATATTTTCACATAGTCACATTAACATTGTCAAAAACAGCCCAACATCATGATTAACAATTCTTTCCGGAATTTCAAAAACTGCTCGTAGTTACAACTTCAAAAATTCGAAATAAATTCAATTCAACTCCGAATTATGAAATTTCAAAACTCACGGAAACCTAACTCAAAGCATTACAAAGTTTATGCAGAACTCTTAACCAGAAAATAGCTTTTAGGCCACGATAATCTGAGCACAAACAGAGGTTATAACGAGAAGTTCTCATACGATTTTCAGCACAAAAACATAGTTTCATGTACGTAGCATCAGGGGTCACATGTAATCATAATATACACCTCATGTACGCGCATATACAATATAAGAGAGTCCGCCCTAGCATGATTTTTAACACAAATTCACATAAACTCATACGATCACCACATAACACGTTTTAAAGAATCCCAGTCGTGCAATAATCGTCAAGTTCAATCATATAAGCATGCTTTTCGTAACATAAATTTTAACATCTCGAGTCATATAGAGCCTCAACATCAAGCTTAACTACAATTCATACCTTTTACAAGTGCGTGCCTCGCAGCCAACTCACAAGATATTCACGCGATGTCGGAGCAATCCACTCGTTCTATTGACGACGTCGTCGTCTTTCATCCATGCATCAGTCCTCAGGAATTACGCTTGATCTAACGTACGAGAATTATCAACCATCATCCCTCTCGACGCTTAGCCACTCTCAAGAGTTACGACGGTGATACGCATTAGATTCTCCTAAACTATGGGGGTCGATTAGTAACCAATTCGCGGCATCTAAACGACACTCTCGGTCCTCGACGACTAAGGTTCTAATTTCCCGATTGATCTCATACACTAGAGATTCACTTGGTACTAACCTTTCTCTTTCAAGATGGGTCACGAATGGTCCTACTCCAAGGACAATGAACGAATCTTATAGCGAGAAAATGCTATAACAACACTTATCTCAATAACAATATACTGAAACTCACAACTAAGAATCTCTAGAGTCCAAACTTAACTCTATATCAGTAGAGTTCAATGTCAAACACTAGAGTTCACATAACTTTAGGTGGATAGATTTCCTAAGCCCCAAAACAACATATATATCACTTCATGAGTAGTCTCATTGCTACTCATGCAAAACCTAATAAGTAGTTTCATTGCTACTCATGTAAAACATCACAAGTAGTTTCATTGCTACCCGTGTAAAACATCACAAGTAGTTTCATTGCTACTCGTGCAAAACATCACAAGTAGTTTCATTGCTACTCATGCAAAACATCACAAGTAGTTTCATTGCTACTCGTGTAAAATATCACAAGTAGTTTCATTGCTACTCGTGCAAAACATCACAAGTAGTTTCATTGTTGCTCGTGCAAAATCACAATTCACATTATAAGTATTTTCATTGATACTTACATAAAACATACCTTAAGCAGTGCGGAGTGACAGAGACGAGTGGCCATATTACAAGGTCCAAACACATACTCACATATAAACCAGTCTACAGAAACGCAGACTGGCTCTGATACCAAACTGTAACACCCCACTTTGATTTTACAAACAATTCCAGACTTTCCAAAAATTAGTATAAAATTTTTGAGATCATTTTCGAAATCTAATGGGTGTTAAACAACATATTTCGTAACCTAAGTCTTATCTGGGCCCACAGGGATTCATTACCCAGTTTTCACGAATGGTTTTCATTAACTAAAGCATAACGTGAGACATATTTCTCAAACATGAATATACTTAAACCATACCGTCATACCCAACATCAGGGTTCCACAAGTTTTCCCAAAAACAAAACAAGTCATAAGTTTTGGAAAAAGGTCTAAACAAGTCTCCACATAAAGGTCCAATAAAGCCTTATTTATTCTAACGGAAGCATAAAATGCATAACTAAATGACCGACCCACTCACCTCTCCTCGTCACCCTGCTCCTGCCTAACCTTCATCGGTGAAGAGCAGGTGGGGATGAGCACAAGATGAAAAGCGTGCTCACCACTATGCACATATATCACAACATAAATAATGAACAGAAGGTATGGTTACAGTATGAACATAAAACAATTATTCTGTCGCGTCTCCTAATCACATCACAACACAATATTCACGTGTACACATCTGTCATTAGCCAAGGAAAGGGGATTCATTACCCTAACTCATGGGGGTACGTGCCATACGACAAGGCACAGCCTTTCATTAGGTCTTACAGAGACTTACCTCGCAAGGTAACCGTATTACATCGACGGGGACAACCGTACCGACGGCCGAATCGGCTCACGCCGATAGGCTACATGGTTTACGTACATACTAAAATCATACAAAATGAACATTATAATACACATACGGCATAGCAAATTTTAGATTAAAACCCACTTGGTACCGCAAGGGAAATAGCACACAATAAGGAGTAGGCAGTGAGCACGGCTCGTCAAACACCTACAATGGTTATTACACTAAGATCAACACCTATTTGACCTTAGAGAACAAACACAATCATACATTGGTCGAACTTGATTCAACCAAGTAGTTCGTGAAGTCTGTGGACATTGGAACATTCGGGCCTAACACTTAGACTTCACAAAAAATGCATATAAACACCACACATAGACTTAGCATGTAAAAAAAAGTCAAACAGGTCAAAGGCACACACAAGGGTTCGGGAAAAAT